ATCACTTGAGCCTGGGATGCAGAGATTTCAGTGAGCTGAGATCATGCCTCTGCACTCTAGCCTGGGTGACAGAGCATGTCTCAAAAAAAAAAAAAAAAAAAATTGGTTCAGTTGAAACAAAGGACATTGATATATTGTAGTTCAGTAAATTAAAAGTATATATTGTATTAGTTCGTTTTCATGCTGCTAACAAAGGCATACCCGAGACTGGGCAGTTTACAAAAGAAAGTTTATTGGACTTACAGTTCTGCGTGCCTGGGAGGCCTCACAATCATGGTGGAAGGTGGAAAGTGTGTCTCACATGAGAGCGGACAAGAGAGCTTGTGTGGGGAAACTCCCATTTTAAAAACCATCAGATCTTGTGAGACTTACTCACCATCACGAAAATAGCATGGGAAAGACCTGCCCCCATTATTCAGTTATTACCTCCCACCGGATCCCTCCCACAACATGTGGCAATTTAAGATAAGGTTTGGGTGGGATCACAACCAAACCATGTCTTGTATACGTGTATGTAGTATATGTGTGTATGTATATACATAAATATATATAAATATATATGTGGAGGGCGTGGCTTAAAGTAACAAATTTATTGTCTTACTGTTCTGAAAGTCAGAAGTCTGAAATAAGGTGTACTAGGCTAAAATCGAAGTGTTGGCAGGTGTATATTTCTTCTGGTCTTGCCTTTTCCAGTTTCTGGAGGCTACTTGCATTCCTTGGAGCAAGTCCCCTTCCTCCATCTTCAAACCCAGCAACATAGCATCTTCAGATCTCTTTTTCTCTCTAACTTTTTCCATCATCTTATCTCCTTCTCTGACTCTGACTCTCCTGCCTTGTTTTGCTCAGTAAGACCCTTGAAATTATATTGGGCCTCTGTGGATAATTTTAGGATAATCTCCTTATGGTCACAATCCTTAATCAACCACATCTAGAAAATCCCTTTTGCAATCTAAGGGAAAATATTCGTAGGTTCTAACAAATAGAATGTAGATATCTTTGGGCTACCATTATTCTGCTTACCACAATGATAGTAAACCTTTTAAGACAAAGGTTTTCCAAGTAAATTTTTTAAAAGTATAAAACACCTACCGAAAAGTGCTGGCATCGTATATTTGTGCAACTTGGTTAATTTTCACAAAGTAAAATACATGTGAACTCAGCATCTAGAACAAGAAACAGCCCCAATAAGTCCTGTGTATCCCTTCAAAGGGTTTACCACTTTCTAGGCTCTTAAAAGTACAGGTTAGTTTGGGCTTTTTTACGATTTTATAAAAATTGGAATCATACTGTGCCTTCTCTTTTGTGTCTGGCTTTTTTCACACAGAAGGTTTGTGAGATTCATTTATGTTGCTGGGAATAGTAATGATTTGTTCATTATTACTGATGATTTAGTACTTTATTTTAGGAATAGATAACAATTTAATCCTAGTTTATTGTTGGATATTTGGGTTGTTTCAAGTATTTGGCTAATATCAATAGTGCTGCTATGAACATTCTAGTGCATGTTTTTACGTGCCCCATGCAGGCATTTATTTTTAGTGGAATTGCTGGGTTATAGGGGAAGCATATGATCAGCTTTAATAGCTATTGATACATAGTTTTCCATTGCGATTGTTCCATTTTATACTCCTGTCAGTAATGTGTTCCGTTACTCCACATCCTCATCAACAGTTGATGTTATAAGTCTCTTTCATTTTGGCCATTCTGGTATGGTATAGTTGTATATCTTTGTGGTGGTAATTTATAGTTCCTTGATGGCTGAGTTTGAACACCTTTCATATACACAGTGTTTCAAACATAGGAATATTGTATACAGAAAACCATTATAGCGGAGGCACCAGGAACTGGTTTCACAGGAGACAGTTTTTCCATGGAGATGGAGTGGGGGTGGTTTTGGGTTTAAAACTGTTCTACCTCAGATCACCAGGCATTAGCTTCTCATAAGGAGTGCATAACCTTTGAGAAACACTTCACCATAGGGTCCACACTCCTATGAGAATCTAATGCCATCGCTGATCCTACAGGAGGTGGAGCTCAGGTGGTAATGCTCGCTCACCTGCTGCTCACTATCTGCTTTGCCACTCACTTTCTAACAGGCTACAGACCAGTACTGGGTCTTTGGGACATAGGGAGAGAGGAACTTACTGAGGCAGGGTTTATAGACAGCCTCAACTTACAGTACTGTCATTGCTAAATTAGAAGTGGATACAGGCATATCTAAAATATTGTACTTCTTTAAAAAAGGTTATTATTATAGTAAAATATGTATAAAGTTTGACATTTAAACTATTGTTTCGAGAGTACATTTCGTTGACATTAAGTATATTCATGTTGTGTAACCATTACCACAATTAAAATTTTTCTGAGAGGTGAGTTATGCACTTAAATCATTTCAGCATGCCACAGTTTTCTTAAACATTACCAGAGAAGAAAATTTGCTTACGTATTTATTATACAGTTATAAATTTACATAGATAAAACATAAAAAAATTAAGCTTTGAATAGTTTGAACAAGCTGCCTAGGGGAGAATCATTCTTCCCTGGTTGTTAGAAGTTTATAACTTCAGATAACTTTTTATCTGAAGTTAAGTTAATGCTAATCTTCAAAGTCCTGAATCATATTAATTCAACAGTTACTTCTTATCTATTTCTATCTGTATTGTACCATTCTGAATCATAGTATGGGTAAGTCATGAATAACCAAAATGCATGGTTTTTGTAACCTTTACCTTAATCATTTTATGAAATAGTAGGAATATTTTTCAGAATCATCTGTTTAAATGTTCAGTATGATTATCTGCACTTTTCTTTTCGTCTTCAGATTATGACTGTACCCAATGACCCTTACACTTTTCTCTCTTGTGGTGAAGATGGAACTGTTAGGTGGTTTGATACACGCATCAAAACTAGCTGCACAAAAGAAGATTGTAAAGATGTAAGAATTAAATTTTTATACAAATGATGCAGAAAAAATTAAGGTTATAATTAAAATTGGACAGTAAGTTATGTGGATGGTAAGGTTATGGGTGAATTTTTAAATTTTTGTTTTGCTAAAATATTTAATAAGCATATATTTTTATAATCAGAAATTGAAAAATGTAAAATGTTAATATTGAAGTTGGGGAACTTATATTTTAATTGTACATTTACAATATATTTATGAAAATTCAAATAATTGTTCAGTATGTACTCTCTAATATTATAAAAATCTGAAGAATTTATATCAATATATCTCATTTACTCATGGAAACAACTTCGACTTACTAAATAGCAGTTATAAAAGCTTGTGGTAGTTTATTGTCTTTTTTTCTCCTTTTAAACTGTAATTACATGTTATCTTTTTAAAAAAGAAGTAATAAGATACCATGCTATCAACATGTTTGTTCAAATTTAGCTCACTTTCCTAAAGATAATATCTCTACTATCAGTTTTTTATGCTTTAATACTATTTAATTAAATTAATTAATGTATTTTTTTGAGACAAGGTCTCACTCTGTCATCTCAGGCCGGAGTGCAGTGGTGAAATCCTAGCTTACTGCAGCCTCAATCTTCTGGGCTCAAGTAATCTTCCTGCTTTAGCCTTCTGAGTAGCTGGGACTACGGTGTGTGCCACTATGCCCAACTAATTTCTTTTGATTTGTAGTAGATATGAGGTCTTGCCATGTTGCCCAGGCTAGTGGTGTCAAACTCCTAGGCATGAGCCACCATATTTGGCTTTTAATACTATTTTAAACTTACAAAGGCCTGAGAAATCATTCAGTCTTTTGACCCCAGACAAGTAATTCCAAGTGATTTTTCCTGACATACATTATTTAGAGCACAGTAGTTTTTCCTTGGATCATTTTGAAGTAGGAAATGAAATAAGAAAGTACTATTCAAAAAATATTTTTACTGAAAGTTGCAAAAAAAAAAAAAAATTACTATTAATCAGGTTAAGTGCTTGCTAACTAAACCAGTTACCAACTGGTTAACATGCTTTAGGTTGAAAAGATTATTTTATATATTTGAAACAGAGAAATAAAAGAAAACAAAAAGTAGAAATTGAAAAACCTTTAGGCTGGGTGTGGTGGCTCAAGCCTATAATCCCAGCACTTTGGAAGGCTGAGGCAGGTGGATCACAAGGTCAGGAGTTCAAGATCAGCCTGGTCAACATAGTGAAACCCCGTCTCTACTAAAAATACAAAAAATTAGCTGGGTGTGGTGACAGGTGCCTGTAATCCCAGCTACTTGGGAGGCTGAGGAAGGAGAATTCCTTGATCCTGGGAGGGGGAGGTTGCCGTGAGCCGAGATCACACCACTGCACTCCAGCTCGGGTGACAGTGCGAGACTCCATCTCAAACAAAACAAAACCATAAACCTTTAAACATACAGTTTAATCAGTTTTTTTGTTATATATTTGTATATAGACACATAAGCAAATAGGGAAACTTTGAACTAAACTCTAAGTTTAAATATCAGGTTATTAGAGGTGTTTGATATATATACCTGTTCCTTAGAGTAAGTGTACTAAATTTTTTTATTGCAAACTCTCTAAAGCTATTTTAGTGTTTCAGTGTAGTAAGATTCAGTTGTGCTTTTCTAAACAAAAACCCCAGGAAAATACGAAAACAAGTCTGATAAGACGTGAAAGCACTCTTTCCTTAGTAAAACTTTTCCTTTACGTATAAAAGTGAAATGAAGCAGAGAGTGTAAAGAAAAACTGGTAACTAGAGTAATGCTTAACTACTAAAAACTTAGAATTATGAAAGGCATTTGGTTAATGAATTCTATGTAATGAGAGTAATGTTCTAAAATTAGTAATTGAATAAAGTATAAGGTTAAATTGACTTAAAAACATTACTGGGGGCTGGGCGCTGTGGCTCACGCCTGTAATCCCAGCACTTTGGGAGGCTGAGGCGGGCAGATCACCTGAGGTTAGGAGTTCGAGACCAGCTTGACCAACATGGAGAAACCCCGTCTCTACTAAAAATACAAAATAAATTAGCTGGGCGTGGTGGCACATGCCTGTAATCCTAGCTACTCGGGAGGGAGGCAGGAGAATCGCTTGAACCTGGGAGGCGGAGGTTGCACTGCACTCCAACCTGGCGACAGAGCAAGACTCCATCTCAAAAAATAAAAATAAAAAATTGCTGAGAAGAATGAGCAGTAAGAGTCATTAGAGAAAACAGTATGGAATCAACAGAGTACCTTCAGGATATATGTTTGGGGTACTAGCTCTTACATTTTCTAATTATTCTACAGAGATAAGTAATAACATTATAGTAAGACCTGTCTTTTGCAGGGTTTGTATTTATATGTGTACTTTATTTTTGAGCTGGTTAAGGAGAAAGGTTTTATAAGTAAAAAAAAGTATAAAATGTAAAAGTTAATTTTTTGCTCTATTTTAATAGCAATGGTTACATTTAAAATATTATGAATAAGCCTGGGCAACATAGTGAGACCCTATTTGTACAAAAAAATTTTTAAAAATTAGCCCGGTATGGTGGTGTGCACCTGTAGTCCTAGCCACTTGAGAGGCCGAGACAGGAGGATCACTTGACCTCAAGAGTCTGAGGTTACAGTGAGCTGTGATCACACCACTGTAAGCCTGGACAACAGAGCAAGAAATGTCTCAAAAAGAGAAAAAAATATGAATACTATATAAATAATCAATAGTTATCATAGACAGTATGAGAGATTTGTCATAGGTAGGTTATAACTCCGTCTTTACTGTCAAGTGGACCAATAATAGCAGGCATTTCTAATGGTACTAATGACTTAGTGATACCTTATATAGGTAATTTTGAATTTTTTACTTTTCTAAAGATGTTCATTATTCATGAGTATGAGAATACTTAACAGGCATTTCTGAGAAATAATTCAAATTGTATTATAACATTGTATGAAATGTAGCTAGTTTGGAAAGAGTTTTAATTGTGGTCACATAAATATGAGTTTCTTGGCTTATTACCATCTTTTTGTAGCTGGTGCTGATCTAGTATAATTACTCAGTATTTTCAGTCTTATATTTGAAAGTAATTTTTATTTTTTCCTTTTTAGAATGTATTTAATTGCTCAAATACTGATCATTTTTAAAATCCATATTTTAATTAAGTTTAGTATTTTCATATTTTTTCTTGTTTTGATTGGCTTATAAGGAAAGTATACAATATTGTGGTAGAAATCTATCAATTTTGGAGTTGTATGGCCAACTATAAAGAAAAGAGTATCTTTCTTAGAAATATTGATTGAGTATATTTATTTTGATTTCACATAGGCTGAATGTATTAGAAATAATTTCTAGTAGAAATCTGAAAAAAAAGTTAAAAGAAAGCCATATTGTTTTTCCGCTCATTGTCATTCTTGACTGAATTAGGAATTCTGAGAATGGTTATTCTAATTACTAATAAGAAAATGTTGTAAGTATAATTTCACTTCTGCTGTATAGCTGTATGTAATTGGTATTATGTTATGTTTTATAGGATATTTTAATTAACTGTCGACGTGCTGCCACATCTGTTGCTATTTGCCCACCAATACCATATTACCTTGCTGTTGGTTGTTCTGATAGCTCAGTACGAATATATGATCGGCGAATGCTGGGCACAAGAGCTACAGGTAAGAAGATAATATTAGGGAAAATATAGGACTGTCAGTTCAAAGAGTAAATCTTTATGACATCTTCAGTTTTAAAATTTCTTGTTTGTTATAAAATTTCAGAAAATAGTATTTGTTTAGTATGGATTATTATAAAAAAATAACATTTCACCAAGTGTTTATGACCCTTTGGGATGATACTTTTGTAGTTTAACTTTAAAAAGTTGTAACATTTGATGTATTAGTTTGGCAGGACTGCCATAACAAATGACCACAAACTGGGTATCTTAAAGCAACAGAAATTTATTCTCTTAAATTTCTGGAGGCTCAATGTCTGAAATCAGAATGTCTTATGATTGGTTTCTACCGGAGGTTCTGTTCCACAATCTCCCCTAGCTTGTGATGGTTGCTGCCAATCCTTGGCATCCCCTTGGTATAGATGAATCACTCTAATCTCTGCCACTGTCTTTACATGCCATTCTCCCCATGTGTGTCTGCGTTTACATTTTCCTCTTAGGGCACTAGTCATACTGGATTTGGGCCCACCCTTAATCCAGTTAGGGTGAGGTGGGCCCTCGATTAGTTACCTCACTGTAACTAACTACATCTGTAAAGGTCACATTCTGTTTAGAATAGTGACTTGGGTATGTATTAATATGTAGCATATATTTATTCCTTCTTACCTTATAGTGCTATTAATAATGCTGCTATTACCTTAAAGTGCTATTAATAATGAATTTGAATCTAATATAAACCAGTGCTCTTTCCCTTCACTCACTGTAGGATCAAAGTACTTCTGAAATAACCAATTAGAAGTCAACTTCCAGTCACATATTTTCAGTAAAGGAAGGCCAGGATTACACACACACACACACACACACACACACACACACACCCCCCGAATGCACATTCATATATTCGCATATTTTATATTGTTAAAAATAAAGGTGGACTTGGGAAGAAGCCAACAATGTCAGTAAAGATGTACATAGATTATTGAGATGAGAATGCCAGATGAGATCTTTCTTTTTGAAACTGTGATAGCTTTTATTTATATTGCTACATTAAGTCACATATCTAATAATAATTGAGGAGTCCAGTCTATTTGGATATGTACATTTAGGGGAAACAGTAGTAATATAATATGGAATCATAGGCTTAATTATTGTTTCTCAACAGGTGGACACAATTGACATTTTGAGCATGATAAGACTTCATTGTGCAAGGTTATACAGCTTTGTGGGATTCTTAGAATTTAGCATTTCTGGGCCCCCAGGGCACAAAGTGCCAGTTGTACACCTATTATATTGCATTGAGTACCAGAGTTAATTAAAATTGGAATAGCATTCTTAACTCTGTACTATATAACAGGCAAATTTCGTGGCAATCAGAAATTTTTTTTTTTTTTTTTTTTTTGAGACGGAGTCTCGCTCTGTCACCCAGGCTGGAGTGCAGTGGCCGGATCTCAGCTCACTACAAGCTCCGCCTCCCGGGTTTACGCCATTCTCCTGCCTCAGGACTGGGACTACAGGCGCCCGCCATCTCGCCCGGCTAGTTTTTTGTATGTTTTAGTAGAGACGGGGTTTCACCGGGTTAGCCAGGATGGTCTCGATCTCCTGACCTTGTCATCTGCCCATCTCGGCCTCCCAAAGTGCTGGGATTACAGGCTTGAGCCACCGGGCCCGGCCCAGAAATTTTTTTAAAAAGTAAAAGTTGTATCATCTTAAGGATATTGCATACATTGCATACTAATTTATGTAGTATGCTAATAAGTATCAGTTTTTTGTAAAACTTTACTATCTTAATTTGGGGCAAACTTTTGGAAGATGACTTCATGTGACTGTATTTATAAATCATTTTCCTTAATTAACTCATTTCAACAAAGCGTATGTAATCTGGAATTCTAGACAATCATGAATTTTTTTTGTAGAGATGTTACCTTTATATCATATTCTTTTTTGTTTCGTTACAAAATCTGACTACAGAAAAAGAACCTCTACTAGAAATAAACGTGATGGCTTTTATTTATGTTGCTACTTTAAGTCACATATGTAATAATTCAGATTAAGAGTTTTAAAAAATGTTTTTCTTTAAAACATTAATTTTAAATAACTGTTTCTTATTTAGGAAATTATGCAGGTCGAGGGACTACTGGAATGGTTGCCCGTTTTATTCCTTCCCATCTTAATAATAAGTCCTGCAGAGTGACATCTCTGTGTTACAGTGAAGATGGTCAAGAGATTCTCGTTAGTTACTCTTCAGATTACATATATCTTTTCGACCCGAAAGATGATACAGCACGAGAACTTAAAACTCCTTCTGCAGAAGAGAGAAGAGAAGAGGTAGGTTTACTCAAAGCCGTGTCCTTTGGCCGGGCGCGGTGGCTCACGCCTGTAATCCCAGCACTTTGGAGGCTGAGGCGCGTGGATCACCTGAGGTTGGGAGTTCGTGACCAACCTAACCAACATGGAGAAACCCTGTCTCTACTAAAAATACAAAATTAGCTGGGCGTGGTGGCACATGGCTGTAATCCCAGCTACTCAGGAGGCTGAGGCAGGAGAATTGCTTGAACCCTGGAGGTGGAGGTTGTGGTGAGCTGAGATCGCGCCGTTGCACTCCAGCCTGGGCAACAAGAGCGAAATTCCATCTCAAAAAAATAAAAATAAAAAAAAAGGAAAAGAAAAAAACGCCATGTCCTTTATTTAAATTCAGAAACAATTCAGTGACTCTTGGGACCTAAAGGCCAAAAAGAAAAAAAAAAACATTAATTTTCAAGGCACTTACAGTTCAGAAAACAAAAAACATGAGACATACTTGAAAGAATAGAAGCTAATAAATTATTATCAGTTATTACTAATTACTATTATTATTTAGTTACTACTAATTTCTAAGTAGTAATGACAAAAATAGTCATTACTATTTTTATAATTTTTATAAAATTCATATTTATATTGTAATTTGTATTATAATTAGTAATAACTAATAATTACTAGCATCTATACTTAATGTATTAGTAATAATAAATTACTGATTTATTATTGGTATTCTAAATACTATTTCTAAAGTATTCAGTAGTGAATTATTAGGGATAAGGCTTTAGAAAAAAGTATTTTTAATTTTTTTTAAAGAGAATATACTTGATAGCAAAATGTTTATCTTAACTTTGTAGATGTACAGCAGCAGCAAGAAAGATCAACAGTTCTAACACTTGCAGAAAAGGCAATTAAAATAATAGAAAATATGATGATAAATTTCCGAGAGTCTAAATGTGTATGTCCATGGATCAATAGAATTTTTACTTACTACCATTTACTCTTCGTATATGGACAGCAATCCCTTTCTCTCCCAATTGTGCCTCTTTCACAGTTACATACTAGTGATTTATAACATTAACCCTAGGTATATTTTATAAAATAAATATAAGTGGGAAAAAGATAAGTTAAAGTAGTTGTATATATTAAAAAGTAGGTGAATGAATTACTTTCACAAAACTACTAAAAGATAATGAATTTATTATTTATAAAAGGGGAAAAGTAGAAATAAGGTATCTGACGGTATACAACTGTAGAAAAATGTCTAACCTGTTAAGCTTCTTTCGTCAATATGTTTTTCATTTTGGCTTTTTTATTTTATAATGTTCTGTGTTTATTCACTCTGAACTTTGACTTGTAAAAGTCTTTTGAAAGTAACCATTGATTTTTATTTTCAGTGACTTTTTGGTATTGGCTCAATGCCTATTAATACATTTTAAACGTTACTAATAACAGTGATTTTGGAATTCCTACGAGATACAAAACTATATTCATTCCTCATAATTTCAGGTATAGAGGGCTGTAAAATTAGAAGAGAAATCAGTATTACTTTATAAATATACTTTGAGATTTTTATCATTGGAATGTATTTATTTGAATTAGGAAATTGATGAAGAAGGGTATGATGGCTAATAAAATGATTTTTGAGTTTATTCTGGTTGAAAACATGAAATCTACTCTGTCATTTTGTTACTGCTGTATAAATTCCCCTTGAAATACATGGGTAAGTAGTTATAGTCATACTGTGATTGTTACATAATGAGAGTTGGAAGTCCATAGATATTTTAAGTGGGCCAGCTAGTTTTGATACCATAGAATACTTAGCCAAAAGATATTTATATAATCAGAGTGAATGAGACTGAGTCATGAACATTTTTTTTTTTTTTCTGGGAGCCTTTTCCTTGGTCTTGTTTATTGCATTAACTAAATTAAGAAAAATAATGCTGAAAGTGGATTTAAATTATGCTTATTGGCTGGGTGCAGTGGCTCAAGCCTGTAATCCCAACACTTTGGGAGGCTGAGGTGGGTGGATCACCTGAGGTCAGGAGTTTGAGACCAGCCCGGCCAACATGGTGAAACCCTGTCTCTACCAAAAATACAAAAATTAGCCAGGCTTGGTGGTGGGTGCCTGTAATCCCAGCTACTTGGGAGGTTGAGGCAAGAGAATCCCTGGAACCCTGGAGAAGGAGATTTCAGTGAGCTGAGATCGTGCCACTGCACTCCAGCCTGGGTGACAGGAGGGAAAGTCAGTCTCAGGAAAAAAAAAAAAAAAAGCGTATTATAACAAATCAAACAATTCAGAGGTATGCATAGAAGAAATTAATAACCTGTCTTATTTGTAATAAAACTTTGCTGATAGTGTTCGGACAAACTCAACTCACCAAATATTTATTGGGTGCCTACTATACACCAGGTCCTCAACTAAACTTTGGAAAATGAAGGATGATGAGACAAAGATATGACCTCTTACTCAAGGAATTCACAGCTTAGTAGAAGTAGAGATACAAGTAAATAAATATGTAAAACTTAATATAGAATTATGTATAAGGACTATGTTCTGTATAAGTAGAACAAAGTAGGGAGTAATTGATCTTAATTGGGAACATTAGTAAAGCCTGAGGAAGGTTTTAAAGCATGAATAAAAGTTTATTGTATGATTTTGTTTTATGTTTCCGTAATATTTTTGCATTTTCTCAATTTGTGGAGGCCTTTCTATTTCCTTACCACCTCTAATAATTTCTTTCATTTTTTCCCCCTTCTTTCTTTGGTTCATTCTTTTGTCTTAATTTTTTTTTGTACTTCCTGTTTTCCCTTATTTTTGTATCCTATTTTCTTTTTATCATATCTCTCTTCTTATTTTTGACAGTTTACCACCTGCCCTACCTATTATTGGGCTTCTTTGTTGAATTCTTTCTTTCATTTTCTTCTGGGCCTCATAGCTTGTGCCTAAAAATATACTCCAGATCTGACTACTGCTTACCACCACCCTGCTACATTACCACCCTGAATCCGAGCTGTCAGCATCTCTGGCAAGACCTGTCCCCCTTTATACTTGATTTTGCTAGCTTTCTAAGCAGTCTGCCTGCTTTCACTTCCTACAGCCCTATAGCTATACAGCATTCAAAGTGATCCTTAGAAACATAAGTTAAATCATGCCACTTTTCTCGTCAACGTTCTAAGTGGCTCCCTATCTGACTTAAAGCAAAACTGAAGTCCTTATGGTGGCTTCAAGATCTTATACTATGTGGTCCTAATTATTACTTCTACTGTTCTCTTCTTTACTCTAACCACATCTACTTGCTTAGTAACTCAGGCCAAGCATGACTCTATTTTAGGATTTTGCAGTTAGTCTGCCTGAAATGCTCTTCCCTGGATACCTGGATTTTTGATTCCCTTGTATTTCAGGTCTTTGCTTACATAACCTTCTTGGTGAAACTCTACTTCACTATCCTATTTAAAATCACAGACTTTAACTGATACTACCTTTCCCCTTTTCTACTTTATTTCTCTCCATAACAATAACTTCCTATGTATATTTTGCTTTTTTATTTCATGTGGTGTTTGTTCCATCGGGCTGTAAATTCTGTGACATTGGGGATTTTTTTTGTGTGTTTTGTCCATTGTTCTTTTCCAATACCTGTAATAGTACCTGACATATAAAAGGTGCTCAAAAAAAATTTGGTGAATGAAATGCCATTTTCAGTATTCTTGACTAGGTTATTTCACATACTTAGAAAGTCAAACTTGGGATTGTTTTTAATTTGAAGGTTTTATTCTAGAAATAATTGCTGAAGTTGTAAAACCAGTTCTTTGCCTATGTAATATAAACATTCCTCTATCTTGAAACCATGAAGCAAGATTCTATTATATTGTTTTAAGAATAGTTCATATAAAGGATGAAGCGCTGTCCTTTTGGGAATGATTAGTTGTTTGAAAATTTGTACAGCTCTCACATTAAGCTTCCTTTGTTCTGGTTATTCCCTGTCACACACTTATGTCTTCCTGTGTAGATTTTACTATTATCAGTTGCCTTTAGCCATACTTACACATAATATGGAATTTATGGGGATTTTTTTTCCTGTCTCCTTTGCTGAGGATGCAAAGATTTTTTTCTATTCATGTTAGTAGGTATGGTTTCCAGGAGAAATCAGAAAATTCACAGTTAAGTGTCAGCAAGTTTTTATCAAAACCTGCTTCATTTTCAGAGAAAAAAAAAATCAATGAATGCTGTTTTTAAAAATAAATAAAAATAAAAGGAGGGACCCACAGAATGGGAGGAAATGTTTTCCAGATTGTGTGTCAGGTTACAGTTTAGTATCCAGAATGTGTAAGGAGCACTTACAGTGCAACAATAAAAAGACAAATATCCAAATTTAAAAATAGGTAAAGGATTTGAATATATAATACTTTTTTTTTTTTTCCCAGAGAAGACATATAATAGAAATGGCAATAAGTACATAAGGAGATACTCAACATTATTAGTCCTCAGGGAAACGCAAATCACAACCACAGTGAGGTATCACTTCATACCCAGTAGGATGACTAAAATAAAAAGGACAGACAATAACAAGTGTTGACAGACAATAACAAGTGTTGACAAACATGTGGAGAAACTGGAACCCTCAAAAATTAGACTTATTATATGACCCATACTTCCCCTCCTAGATATACAGGCTTCTCTTGGAGATATTGCAGGTTTGGTTCTAGACCATTGCAATAAAGAAAATATTGCAGTAAAGCAAGTCACACAGATCTTTTGGTTTCCCAGTGCATGTAAAAGTTATGTACCATCGTCTGTTAAGTGTACAATAACATTGTGTCTTAAAAATCAATGTGTATACCTTAATTTAAAAATACTTCATTGCTAAAAAGTGCTAATAATCATCTGAGCCTCAGTAAGTTGTATTATTTTTGCTGGTGGAGGTGCTTACCTTGATGTTGATCACTGCTGACTGATCAGAGTGGTGGTTGCTGAAGGTTGGGGCTGTGACAGTTTCTTGAAATAAGACATCAGTGAAGTTTGCTGCATC